TTCCTTAAATTAACAACTAAAAGGAAAACCATTATGATCATATCAACAATTACAGAGAAACCATCTAACCCAATATCTAATCCTGATAGAAACATTTCACAAATGAGAAAGGGAACTTCCTCAACGTATCATATACCGGTCATTTAAAAAAAAACAAAAAAACAAAAAACAAACAAACAAACAAACAAAAAACCAAACAAACTTCACAGCCAACATGATACTTAATAGTGAAAGACTACATGCTTTCCCCTAGGGAGAAACAACACTTGAACACACTATCACACAACACTGTAAAGGGGGTTCTCCATGGAAGAAATGAAAGTCATCAAATTACAAAGGAAAAACTAAAGCCATCTTCATTCTGTAATCAGTAAAGCCCTTGGAAGCTTAAGAACAGTTTCCACACTGAGTTTGGCAACTTTTCACAAAAGAAGATTGATATTAAAAGCAAAAGCGATTCTATTTAATGGCACAAATAACCAATAAAGAAACTTTAAAATACAATTTAGAATAAAAGTATAAAAATACTTAAGGTTATTAAAGACCTGAAGGACATGGACACCCAAAACTACAAACATTGCTGGGAGATAAAAAATAAAACTTAAAGACATACTGAACTTCCTGTGTAGAAAGAATCAGTATTTTTAAGATATCAGCTTTCCAACATTTGATATTATCAAAACAGTCACAATCCTGCTGGAAGCTTTTTTTTTTTTTAACCTAGGAATAGAGACACTATTAGTAATTCTCAAATTCAAAACACCATGAGACCCAAAATATTTTTCAAAGAACAAAACCAGAAGAGTGAACCTTCTACACTTTAGCCAAAAAGTGAATGAACAAGACCATACTAATATGAACAACAAAAGTATGAAGGAACACCTGAACATCTATAGGCAAGAAATAAATTTCAGTGTATACGTTATACCAAATATAGCAATTACATCGAAATGATCCATATGTAAGATCTATATGTAAGAGCTCAAATTGTGCAATGTTTACAAGAAAGTAATGGAATAAATCTTTGTGACCTTAGGTTAGACAACATTTTCACAGATTCATAAAATGACTAACTGGTAAATTGAACTTCATCAAAATAAGACCCAGGCTGTTCAAAAGACCCAGGTAGACAGTAAAAATGGCAAACACTGATGAATCTATGGGAGAACTGGAACTCCATACTGTTTGGGGGCAGTGCTGGGGATTAAACCCAGGACCTGCCATATGCTATGCAAGTTCTTCCATTAGGCTATGCCACCAACCCTGAGCTGGAACTCCTCCACACTGCAGACTTGTGTATAAATGGCATAATTACTCTGAAAACATAATTGGAGATGCCTTAACAGGATAAACATTTATCAGTCATATAATCTGGCCATTCTACTCCTAGTTGTTTACCCAAGAAAACAAAGCAAACATGAACATAAAACCCTATATATACACATATATATATGTATGTATGTGTGTATACATGCACTATATATGTATACATATATATATATATATGCATGTATGTTAACAGAAGTTTTATTTATAATAGCCCAAATCTGGAAAACAGATATTCATTATTAAGTGAATGGATAAACAAACTATATTTATACAGTAGACTAGTACTCTGCAAATAAAACTACCAATATAAGCAACATGGATGAGATGACATAATTATGCTGAATAAAAGGGGTCACATTATAAAAGAACATGTTTCAATTTATACAAGAACCTAGAAAATGAAAACCAACTTAAAGAGACCACAGACCAGCAACTGCTTAAGGACAAATGGTGGGCAAAAGGAGTCAAAGAGAAACATGAAGCTCCCTTTTGAGAATAATGAGCATGTGTGCTACCTTATCTTCACTCAAGGGAATTCAACTCCCAAACTTTAAAACTTGAACATAGCTGTTTACTATATGTGAATGCTCCAATAAAGTTACTTTAAAGCATTTTATTCAATTTAAAAAACATTAATAATCTTAGTTTTGTTAAAAAAAAATGAAATGTGTTAATTCTAGGCCAATATTACCAAAGAGAATGACTGCTTGAAAGGTTGTTGCTTTTCTCTCAGCCAATTTTACTTTCCTTTCCATTAAAAAGAGACTTATATTTATTTTTAATTGTGTGTGTGTGTGTGTGTGTGTGTGTGTGTGTGTACATGAGTACAGGCACCTCCAGAGGCAATAGGTACATGGTCCCACTGGAGCTGAAGTCACAGGCAGCTGTGAGTGGTGATCTGAGTGCTGATAATTGAACTCTAGAAGAGCAGCACTTGCTCTTAACTATTGAACTATCTACTTCTCCAGTCTCTAGTCTTAGTTTCTTTCTCTTTCTATATACAAGCAGTTGTTGAACTTGGTTTTTAAATTACTATCTATACTAGAAAATTCCTTCTGGTTCAGTGATGATTTTTCTTTTTCAAACTAGTTCTTCAACTGTCTTTTCTATTTGGATCCATCATGACTTTTTAAATTGGATGTTGTATGGTTTGAGTAACCTATTTGACTTTTTTTCTTATTTTATCTGAGACCTCTTTGAATTGCAACTGTAGGCTAGTTACTACAATCTATTCGTTTCTTTGTGGTCTAAATGAAACCCTTTGTGTGTTCTTGTATATTTACAACGCTGGTCACTTAGGAATTAAACTCATTTAAGAAGTATCTTTATTTATTTAAGGGTTTGCAATGTCCTCCAATTCAGAGAGTGCATTGGACATTCTTGTCCCTGCTTAGGGTATGATCAGGTAGGTACAAGCAGCTTCAGCCTTTCCTTGATTATCACCACTGACTTGACACACTCTTCCTGTCAATTTAACTTTTAAAATGGTAAATATTGCATCTTACCTTTCTGAATGTTGCTTTTAGGAAAGTAAACAAGGCTTTGCTAAAACATGTTATCAAGCTACTTAAGAATCTGCTGTGTTTTGCTTGTTGGTAAAAATAAATAAATAAATTCTATTTCATGGTTGATACTTAACTCCCATACTTACATTTTTTTCTTGGGGTGACAGGCATGTATTTCAAGTGATATATCATGTACAAATATTATTAGTTTTACTGATATTACGAGTTGAGCATTTATAAATGTTGGGGTTTAAATTATTTAAATTAAATTAAATTATTTAAATTATTGATGTTTTAGAGGAATAACTAAACATTTTTCTTATCTAGCATAAAATATTAGAGAGGGAAAATAAAAAACAAAAGCAGGTAAAAAATAAATACCAATTGTTTTATTAAATCACCAGTAACTTTTTCTGCATGAATCTTACTAGGTTCCACTTTAAAACAAGCTTTTATGTGTCTATATATAAGACTAATCAGAGTTTCTTCAAAGTTATTTTCCCAAAATTGTTGCCTTTGGGAAAATATTTAAAAAGTTAATAAATGCCAAAAGATACAGCTAAATAGGAAAAATAACTTCTCATATTCTATAGCACAGAAGATCGACTTTGGCATTAATTGTACATTTCAAAATAGGTAATAGAAGGTTTAGACTATTCCAAACACAAGGGCGTGATATATATCTGAGGCTGTGGATATATCTGATTACATACAGCATACATATCAAAGGCCACATTTTACCTCATTATGTATCCATCAAAAATTATATTAAGGAGAACAAGTAATATAAATTTAAGGGAACTGAAAAAATGGCTTAGCAGTTAAAACCACTGCTGCTCTTCTAGAGGACCCAGGTTTGCTCTCTAGCACCCATATAGTAGCTCACTACTGTCTATAATTCCAAACTCAGGGGATCTCTTCTGGCTTCTGTGGGAATTGCACACATGTGGCACACAGATATACATGCAAGCAAAACACCCATACACATAAAATAAAAATAAAGGAAAAAAATTTAAGAGATAATTTTAGGAAAAGTTATTTCTCTGGATTCATAATGTATTATAGACAAAACAGGAAAATGTCAGGATCTGGGCTTACAAACAATTTAATCTTTTTGTTTTGTTTTGTTTTTTGCTTAATGGTTGTTTTGAATTCTTTCAGGTTAGATAGCTCCAAAAACTGCTAAAACTGAGATTTAAAAAACAAAACTGTATACCTATGTATAATATATCTTAGTTTTTACAAATGCAATTAATGTATCTTTTTTTTGGGGGGGGTTCAAGACAGGGTTTCTCTGTAGCTTTAGAGGCTGTCCTGGAACTCGATCTATAGACCACGCTGGCCTTGAACTCACAGAGATCCACCTGCCGCTGCCTCCCGAGTACTGGGATTAAAGGCACGCAACAACAATGACTGGCATGAAATGAACATATAGAAAAGTTTCCATATGTGTAATAAATACACTGGGAACTATAAAATTTGTAGACAGTGTAACTATGCAAATGTAGCTAACTACTTTATAATTATATACAGCACAATCAAAGGCACAGGGCTTGAAGCTTAGTGTGCAGAACAAGATACCATAGGACATACTGATATAGACATACAGACAAGATTCCATGGGGATTTTGACTCTGTAGGTTTTGTGACTAACAATGACTCGATTGCTTTGTATCTAGGTCTTTAATGAATTAATATATTTTTAAATTTTATGTACATGGGTGTTTTGTCTTCAATAGTTCTGTGTACCATATGATGCCTGGTGCTTCTGGGGATAAGGGGAGGGTGGTGGGTGATGGCTGTCCTGGAACTGGGGTGACAGACTGTCAGCTGCCATCTGGGTGCTGGGAATTAAACCTGTGTCCTTCTGGAAGAGAAGCCAGTGCTCTTCTTAACCAGTGAGCCATCTCTCTAGGCCTAGAACTTTTTTTTTTTTTTGGTTTTTCGAGACAGGGTTTCTCTGTGTAGCTTTGGAGCCTGTCCTGGCACTCGATCTGGAGACCAGGTTGGCCTCGAACTCACAGAGATCCGCCTGCCTCTGCCTCCCAAAGGCTGGGATTAAAGGCGTGCACCACCAATGCCCAGCTTAGGCCTAGACCTTTAATCTAAGGGTAAAGGGGAAAAAAATCTCCCCAGATAATGTCTTAATATAAAAGTAGTACTTACCAGTACCGGAATTTGGAACCCAGGGTAAAATAATGTGCAAAAAAATTCTTTTGAGGTGGAAGTGGTCTATCCAGTCGGAAGAATGTGTGATGTTCTACACACACTTTCCACAAATTTTTGCATGCTCTGTAGTTCACCATATTAAATCCCAGCAATGTTTCTCTAGATTCATGCTGTATTAAATGACAAATAAAGAGAATATTGGAAAATAATAATAATACTTTTGGCAGATACATCATGCAAGCACTACAAATGCTAATCTCCCTCTTAATGATTTTGTTTATTTGACAGACACAGTGAACCAAATGAAAAGATCTATAAAATGTGCATTTTAGCTATGATTCTGCTTCAAAATATAATCCTAGGCCATAACTTAAATTTGTAATAGATCCACAATTTGTAATTCTGCCTTGATTAAAAATAAGAATATTCAAAACCTCTAAGCACTATTACAAAATTACATTAGAAACTGACTAACACTAAAATAGAATAATTTCTCTAGTTTTTCTTTTTCACATAAAGCACATTATAGTAAAGCATACATCTTGTGTGAAATAGCTCTGATTTTCAGAAAATGTGACCACTTAATCCAGACTATGAGACAGATCATTGTATAGCACCTGTAAGATCCTCCATTGCTTTCTTCCAATAGATGTCTTGACCATAAATTAGATAAACTTGCTTTCATTATATTCTATTGTAATATATCCACAATAGTTTATCTATTTAACCATTTATAAACATTTAGTATTTCCATTTGGGATAGAAAAGTAATGATATATATTACTGTTCCAAGATCGTAACATGTATGTTTAGCTTGAGAGGTTAATACTTCCTCCCTACAATAGTGTGTGTTCCATATACTAACCAGCTTTAGTAATTTTGTTTTTGTTTTGTGTTTGTTTATTGAGATAGCATTTCACACTATAACATAGGCTCGTCTGGAACTCACTATGAAGTTCAGGCTGGACATTGAATTCATAACAGTTCTCCTTTCTTATCTTTTGATTGAGGCATTATAAGCAGGGACCACCCCATCTATTTCAGTCTTTCTAACTTCACTGTCTTGATAGACATACAGAAGTGGAACATTTTGGTTATGACATATATCTCTTCTTGAAGACTAATAAAATTCGACATCTTATTTATTTGTATTTATTCATTTATTTTATTTATTTTGGTTTCTCAAGACAGGGTTTCTCCGTGGCTTTGGATACTGTCCTGGAACTAGCTCTTGTAGATCAGGCTGGTCTCAAACTCACAGAGATCCGCCTGCCTCTGCCTCCTGAGTTCTGGGATTAAATGCATGCGCCACCACTGCCTGGCTATAATTCAACATCTTTTCATGCTAATGGCCATGTGGATTTTGGGGAGAAGAGAGGTAAAGCATGGTATTTTCTGTAGACCAGGGTAGCCTTGAACTTGTGGCAATATTTCTATCTTAGCCTCTCAAGTGCTGGGATTAGAGGTATGGGCCACCATGTCTACCTTATTTTAGTTTTTGAGGTAGACCAAAGGTGATTTTGAACTCACAGCCTTCTTGGCTACCATGTGGATACTGTCCTTCCTGAAGGATATTGAAGGCGCTGCATATTTTCTTATTGGATATCATATATATGCAAGGACTTGTGGGGGCAAATGTATTATATATATAGTCAGTGCTACTTCACTCCCTTATTGATACCTTTTGATGATCAGTTATCAATTTTCAAATAGTCCAAAATGATCAATCATTAACTTTAAGGTTAAAAAGAACTCCTGTGTTTTATTCAAGAAATATTTCCATCATGAAAAAATTTTCCATAAATAAATCATGATAAAATGTTCAAATATAAGAATATATTTTCATATTAGAAGGAAAAATGATTAAAGAATAACTTGTTGGTTACTAGAAAATTAAATTTACCATTAACAACTGTTTGTATATGCACTATCAGTTTATGTGTTGTATGATATACAATAAACATTATGAAAAACATGACAGGATGTCTACAGAGTATAATACAGCAACATCATTACCAGTGTGCGTGCATAAAGATGTATATATGTTTCCTCTCTTTTAAACAATCGCTTTAGACAGTTTGTATATAATTTTGACACTGGAACTGTATTTGAAATGAGACATTTTTTCCAATTTATAAACAATGGACATAAAGTGTCTTAAGTGTAACTGTAACAAATGAAAATTTGGATTTGCTGCTGTTTTTTGGCACAAATTCTTGCTATGTAGCTCTACCTGGTCTAAAACTTGCTAGGTAGACTAGGGCTAGACTTGAACAAGCAATTACCCTGGTGGCTCTGCCTCCTGAGCACATGGATTACAGGTGTGCATGACTACACCTGGCTATAAGTTTGGGTAGTTAAAAACAAATGTTTTACAGACAAAACATTGGCAATGTGACCTTCTGGAGAGTATATATGTATGTGGTCTTTAATCATTCACTAGTTGACTTCTGATGCTGTTGTTCCTTACAGATAAGCACAATGCTAACTGATACAATCTCTCAGAACAAGCATGAGAACTAAATAATAAAAATGATTCATATATTACCAGGCATACACATTGTTTTCAATAAATGTTACATTTCACAACTATTATTATTATTATTACTTATAAGACATTCTCCCACAATCAGGTGAACTAGAAAAGCTGTCTTCTACAATACTCTATAGTTATTCTAAGTAAAATATCTATTCTCTAGTTTCTGGATAACAAGATTTATTATACTTCCTTCTCTTTACACACACACACTCACACACACACACACACACACACACACACACACACACACACACACGAGATATGACTGTTCTATACCACCATTAGTCATAATATTTCCCAGTGGTTAATGATAAAATTGCCCACTAACAGAAGAATGAACTGCTAGTTTATATCATATGCACTTAGTGGAATATCACACATTAAGGAACAAACCATGCAACATCATGAATGTCAGCACAACAATATGAATTTCATATAGTTAAAGAGAAGAAAGCACAAAAGAACACACTGTATGGCTTCATTTACATGCCATGATTGTAAACCAATTCATGGCAGAACAGATGGGAATAATGCTTTTATGTAGGGAAAGTTAATACCTGAAGTAGATAACAGCTCCATTAGCACTGGACTAGGACATGCTTTACATATTCTGAGTTTACCAAGTAAATACTTAAAAAGTATAGGCACTTTACCATACTAAATTTCGTTTTGATAAAAATTCTACTAAAAAAAACTGCCAGATGTGATAAACATAAATGATAAACCATAATCACAAAATAGGACAATATCCTCTAATAGGTGGATATTACATCAGAATTCAAAGTACATTTAAAGGAAATTTTACACAAATACACCTTAAAACATACATTAATTTGCAAAGACATAAAAAATAATGCAAACCAAAAAACAAGGATAATTTGTTTATATATTCATATATGTAAATATGTGTGTTTTTGTGCCAGGGTCTTGCCCTATAACCCAAGATGGCTTCAAATATTTTAAGTCATTCCGCATGCTTGTGATTACAGGCTTATGTCACCATACCAGGCAAAGCTAGTTTAATTTGATCAAACAGGTAAGATAATTTACAAGGTGAAGTTGTTTTAACACTATACTAACATTTTGATACAAGATAAACTAAAAACTATATATTCAGCACTTCCAAAATGAAGTAAGCTTTCCCATGAAAGGAAGTCCTATGGATTTAGTATGGAGGATAATCTCAGGTGTCATTTCTCAGAAATACAGATCCTTATTTTTGGAGACAGTCTCTCATCAGCATGAAGCTCTCCCATGAAGTTAGACTGACAGGGCAGGGAGCTAGATGGATCAATCTGTCTCTGTCTCCTCATTGCTAGATTATAAGGGCAGATGTTTTATTTGGTTTGTAGGCATCAAGCTTATGTTCTTGCACAGTATATAAGCCATATACAAATAAAGCTATCTTCCCCATGTATGGCTAGGCAATCTTAAAAGATTTCATTTATATCAATAATTACTAGATCAATACTCACCAATTCTTTTCTAAGTTGAATAAAAAATTGTTTGCATTTAAAAGAAATTTTTACAATCTTCAACCTGTATAAGATAAAATTGGAGTATTTAAAATTACTGGTTAAATATGGGAATATTTAAAATTGGGAAAATTACAGATATGATTTCTTTATACTTTATGGTTTCTAAAAGTTTCATATATTTACAGGATGAGTATTAATCAATCTATTCACCAATACTTAGAACTCCCTCTAACACTACCACTCTTTCTCCTTTTTAACTTCATGGCCTCTTTGAATTTTTGTTTTGTTATTAATACCCCAAGTCCAGTTAGTGCTGCCCATATGCACACAGGTGCCTGGCCATGATCTTAAGTTTAATGTATACCAATATCTTCATATTCTCTCATACAATCTCTAATACATATAACATATCAATAATGTAAAGTTTATGGTACTTCCTAGAAAACAAAAGAAAATCTAGGTGCTCAACTCAGAAAAATTTTATCAAACTATATCCACTACTATTTATTTCCTAATTTTCAATTTACAGAAATATTCACCCCAAATTAAAATCTCAACAAATATAAATAACATTTAAAACTTTTAATACTATAAAGTATGCATAAGGGAAAATGTAAAATGTCAGAGTTTTATAAAAGATTTTTTATTTTAAAAACCATCATTATTTATGTCACCCTTATACATTACCTTTTAAAAAATATATGTAACTTATTTTTGTTTTGTTTTTTGAGACAGAATCTCATTATATAGTCTTGGCTGCCCAAGAATTCAGTATGTAGACCAGTCTGTTTGCCTCTGCCTCCACTGTGGCTATCACACCCAGCCTAAATATATGCAAATTTATATAACACTAATTTCTCAACATTCGATTAATGCAATTCATGACTCAAGCTGGCTTGGTTTCTTGTAATAACCATATAAAAAGTAATTCTCAGGTCTTTGGGGGGCTATAACACGTAAAGGCTTATGAACCAAAGAGACTGAATCTTAGAAAAAATATAATTTAGAAACCAATTATCTAATATTAATAATATTTCACAGTAAGCTTTGATCTTCATGACTCATACCTCTATCCGTTAAGAAGCTATGAATACTCTCAGAGTACTCAAGTCACTTGAGAAGACAAATGTACCAGTGGTATTCAGGCAGAGATCCATTTAGCGTGGGGAAATATAAGCTTAGGCTTAGGTCTGAATTTTATTTGTGCTGCTGGGAGACTGAACCCAGGACCTTGCACATGTCAGTGAAGTGCTATTACACTAAGCCAAATTCCCAGCCCCAGGGTTGAAATTTATTATTTTACTATTACATCTTGTGCTCTTACTGCATATATATATGTATGTATATATAAAACAACATGATAAATTATTTTCTCATATAACAGAAGTATTATTTCCAGAAAAGGTAAAAATCCTGTATTTGTGAAAAGTAAGCCATTTAAAAAACTGTACAGAGCTACATATACTTTTAAATTTATTTATTTACTTGTTTTTTTTTTTTTTTTGGTTTTTCAAGACAGGGTTTCTCTGAATTGTTTTGGAGCCTGTAGACCAATAGACCAGGCTGGCCTTGAACTCACAAAGATCTGTCTGCCTCTGCCTCCCAGGAGTGCTACTTTTAAATTTATACATCAAGAACCATCACACAAGCAACATATAAAAATGCTATTCATTTCTAAATGAATGGGACAGAAAATCTAATCTAATTTCTATACATCTTCAATTTCCAAACACCAGAAAAAATCAAATAATGAATACAAAATTTTACACTGGATGATGGTCTCTAGCAAAAGTCTCCTCACATGACTTTTGTTTTTTTACAAATATATTCTATCAAGCAATGAATAATACTTGTTTTGCATAATGAGATAGTTACAATACTTTTTCCTTTGATTTCTATGTTCTTGGTTTATCTTATATAGTGAATTCAACCAATCTGTCTCTGTATGTTTCATATTTATCTCTTATAAATAGTATACACATAAAATTTTCAATTCCATCTAAGTATTTCAAAGAGGATAGATGAAAGAACAATAAGCACATGAAAAGATATTTAACATTGCTAGCCATAAAAGAATCCAAATTAAAATTAAAATGAGGCATCATTTCATACCCACCAGGACAGCTTTAAGCTAAAGACAAACAATAAATGGTAGGGAGAATATGGTGAAATAACTTAGCACATACCCCAGTGGGGATGAAAGGTGATAGGTACTGCAGTGTGAGACAAAGTTTGGCAAACCAAGAAATTCCTACCAACACTTATACAAATATGCCGGGTAGCACTGCTCTTAATAGCAAAGGGAACAAGTGGTAAGCTGTGAAACGAAATGGATAAACTAAGGGATAGAGCAATATTCAGCAATAAAAAGGGACACTGATTTATATATGTTCTAAAAGAGAAAAATGTCAAAAACATTCTAAACAAGTCACTCAAACACATGGTATATTATCTCATTTTAGAATATCCAGAATAGAAATATGATTAGGGCTGGAAGTAGAGGCAAGACTAAGGGTACAAAATGACTTATAACAAATGATCTTTGGGGAGTAATGAAAATGGTTCAAAATTATATTAGGTGGTGCTGTGTTCTTTATGTATACTACAATCACTATGTATTTTAACAGTGAATTTCATAAAGCATATAAACTATAAATATGTCTTAATAATCCATGTTGATAATCAGCCTCTTTCAATCTGAAGGGGTTGCTGTTTTTCCTAAAGGACTTAATTTAACATTCCTCACAACAAGTAAAAGATCCCTTTAATTCCTTTTGCTTTACAAAGACAGTTGTAGACAATTATAGACCAAGTTGATGAGTTGTTTTTTTTTCTTTGAACACTTGAAGATATTTCACTCCATTACTCATGGGTTTTCCAAAGGCAAATGCCATGTAATTCTTATCCTTAATTCTCTGCAAAGTGGTACTTTTGGTGTTTTCTTTCAAGATTCTCTCTTTGTCTTTGAATCTCTTGAAATTTGAAGTTGAACCCAGACATGATTTGCTGAATAAAAGGAACCAGGTAAACATTCCTTAGCTGAAACTTCATGTTTATCTGACAAGACAAAAGCTATGTTTATTGTACAGTGAGCAGCGTGTAGTGTAATCTTAGCATCCACTAGTGCCCTTATTCTGTCACTCTTACTGTCTTTGGGTTCCCATTAGTTTCTTTAAATTGCCTTCCTTGCAGTTTTTCAGTTGTAATCCCCAGTTATTACACAGGTCCTTTGTTGATAGGGCCTACAATATGTGAGCTGGAGAATCAGGTTTAATCCTATGATTAAATAGCTAAGTGGCATAATGGTCCAAGCCCCTTAGCTCTCATCATGGGAACAGGAAGGGACACTTGGTTCTGAAATTCATGCAGCTTGAAGACTCTGAGAAGATCGGACACCCACAAGTTTTTTTTTCCTCAATCCAGTCTAGATCAGCCACCCTGCAATGAGTTGCCACCTTTAAGCTCTGTCAACTGCCCATTCTCTGTAGTCACCTGTCTCCAGTACTCAAGGTGGTAGTTTACTCAATGTCTCCAACTCTGTGAAAAACCTAAGACTTGTCGATTTTTCAGTTTCTATTGGGTTTTTCTTTGTTGTGGGAACAGGATAGTGAACATCTTACAAGTCAGATCCAGAAGCTGACTTCTCTGTCCCTCTTCTACTATCTTAATGCCTTTGCATTAGTTTTCTTGTACTGTATAGTGTAGAGAATAGTTGGAAGGAAAAAAAAAGGCCAGGTAGTGGTGACACATGCCTTTAATCCCAGCACTCGGGAGTCGGAGGCAAGCTGATCTCTTTGAGTTCAAGGCCAACCTGGTCTACAAAGCAAGTTCCAGGATAGGCTCCAAAGCTACACAAACAAGCTCTGTCTCAGGAAAAAGAGAATAGCAGGAAAATATCCATTATAGCCCATGGTGATATGGGCTTGATAGTTCTAGAAAATTTAAATCCCATCTATTCAGTTACTGAAAACTATTTAAAATTCATATTATGAAATAATTTATAATTAATATTTCAATGTTAACATTTGTTGTTTGGTTTTCTTGAACCAAACCGACACAAGGCCTTGGACATATGAGTACTATTCCCAATTTTAAACTAACTTCAAGTATATTTAAATGATGCATCAAGTCATACATTATGAGTATCCTATATATACTAATTGATTCCTCAAAATTCCTGCTTCCAACTGAGGAAACTTCTCTGCATCCAATAAAAGCCATCTCAAATTCAGTAAAACATTCCATAGAGCATATTATTTTCTGAACATACAGAAATGACAGTAGTTAGCTATATCCTTATTTTATAATAATTAAACAGTAAAAAAAAAAGCCAACAGATTATATAATATAGAACTTTGAAAATACAGAAAAATTTATCACTGGCATTTAAAGTTATATCACCTGAAAACAAATTATGGTTTTGACATTTACATATAGTATAAAATAAAAGAAAATTAATCTTTGTGCTCCTATCTATACTTACAGATAAGAATTATGTTTTTGGTCATTTGATTTTGCTCTTGAACATGCCACAATTTCAATTACATAGGAAACATTTCAAAGGTGGAAAATTAAACACTAAACAATCTTTAGTTATATAGAGGTATAATTTTCATTTATAATAGAATTTACCAACTTTAGTTGAAAAATTCAATGAGCTTTAGCAAATCTGTTCAACTGCATAACCACCACAGAGGAATCATCATGTAATAGTTCTGTCACATTACAAAGTCTCTTTGGTGCCTGCCCCTTTACAGTTAACAGCCTCTTCCAATTTTTAAAATGTATGTATTCTAGGATTTCATATAGAGTGAAATGCATTCTTTTGGATCTGGTATAAAAATTTGAAGGTAGGAGGGTCTGTTTTAGTTTATCAACAGTCCATCTGTTTTTAACGCTGAGCAGAATTATACCATGTAGATATATCATAATTTGTTTATTCATTCAGTTGATACATATTTTGATTTTGTTATGAATGCTATAGCTATGAATTTTGTGAATATATATATATATACATACATACATACATACATAAACGAACTATGTTTCTCATATGTAAATCTCTACGAAAAGAATTGCTAGGATAACATAGTGCCATGTTTGGTCTATTGCCAACCTGATTGGTGTATTTATTTGTTATTTCTCTTATTACTGTGACAAAATCCCTAACAAGGGCAACACACAGAAGAAGGGTTTATTCTGGCTTACACTTTGAGGGCATAGTCCATTATGAAAGGGAAGACATGGGGCATAGTCCATTATGGAAGGGAAGACATTGGGCATAGTCCATTATGGAAGGGAAGACATGGCAGCAAGAGCAAAAGGTACCTCACACTGTGTCTGCAGTCAAGAAGCAATGAGAAAGATGAATGCTAGAGTTCAGCTTTCTCTTTTTAATTTAATTCAAGATTCCAGCCCATGGAATTGTGCTGCCCACATTTATGGTAGTTTTTCCAGTTCAATTAGCCCAGGAGTTCTCAACCTTCCTAATGCTGTGACCCTTTAATATAGTTCCTCATGTTGTTGTCATTCCCTCCCCCAACCATAAAATTATTCTCAGTGCTACTTTATAACTGAAATTTTGCTACTGTTATGAATCATAATGTAAATATTTTTGGAGATAGAGGTTTGTCAAAAGGGTCAAGACCCAGAGTTTGAGAACCACTGCTTATTAGCCCAATGCAGACACTCCTTTACAGATATTTATTTCTATGTTCCCATAGTCTTTAACAGTTCCTACACTGCTCAAGTCTTTTTCAAGCCTCATGTATCATGTAGTCCCTTAACTATGAGCCCTGAACAATTAGAAACCAAATTACATGCATTCAATGGGAACAGTCAATAGTCCCATTCCAAGTATCAGACCAAAAAAAGATAATAAGCCCTGTAAGGAAAACACCAAAACCTGTATCTCCATGTGAGGCTTCTGGGCTCACAGGGTTGGGCAGTCAGACCTCTCCAGTTTCAATACCTGCAGTATACGTAGACTCGAACCAGTTCCACTCCATTTCTTGTAACATTCTTTCAGTGGACGTCCCTTGGTCCATCAGTAAAAACCTAGGGTCTCCACTGAAACTTGGGACTTCACTTTCACAACTGCATGAAGTGGCCTCTAACTGCCACTTCTTATTGGGACTCTAACCCTCCCACATATTGCCTGCCTTCAGCAGATCTCTGATACCACTACATGAGACTGCATGGCCTCTTCAATCTCAATGGCCTCCTCAATCTCAATGGCCTCCTCTATCTCAATGCCTACAAAACCAGTATCACACACACAAAAGTGCTAAATTCTGTTGCCAACTCAGGATGGAGCTCAGTTGCAGCCTGTGTGGTGATGATCCTGGGAAACAATTTCTTAAGACAGTTGTTTTAGAGCAAGGAGTCCCTTAAGCAATATTATGTTCAGGTTTTCTTTTTGCAAATAAATTTGTATTTTCACAAGATGGAGCCTTTGCTATTCTTGGGATACTGTTCCTACCAAACCAGTGTGAAGGTTTTTCTTCAATGGGACCTGCCTTTTCTGTAGTTTTAAAACTTGCTCATACTCTTTTCCTTACAAACATTTTTCATATGCCTCTATTCTACTTTTTCCTCGTGGGCACTGTAACCTGGAGAAGAGCTGTAAGCAGCAAACAACACACAACACAGTATGAATACAAAATTGCCTTGAAATTTCCTCTGTCAAATTAATTAGCCCATTCCTTTTAATTTTGTCTAACTTACATTCTCAGGAACGGCCAAATAAAGTCAGAGTTTTATTTTTGGTCAGAACATGAATAGCCTTTAGCCCAGTTCCCCATATAGTCCTTGTTCCCCTTCAAAACTCATGAGCCAGGTCTCTACTTTTCAGGTCTCTACTTTTCAGGTCTCTCTACATCCTGACCTTCCAAACTTCCCTCACAATGACCCATAAAGTTCTGCTTACAGCATTCTGGGCTTTCTCTAATCTAAAAGTCTAAATTCTTCCACACTTTCCCACACAAACTAGTTCCACAGGCCTAAGAACCACATAGTCAGGATTATCACAGTTACCACCTTAATCCTGGCATCAATATCTATAGTAATTATTTTTCTTGTTGCTGTGACAAAACCAACTTGAGGAAATAGAGGATTATTTTGTTTTTCTCACTGTTTGAAAACTACAGTTCATCACAGCAGAGAAGACATGGTGGCAGCTCATCACATGGAGTCCATAGTTAGTAACACAAATTAACAAGGCTGGTACTTGTGTTCTTTTTCAGTCAACCACCCCAGGTCATGGAATGCTGCCACCCTCATTTAAGAGGGTCTTAACACCTCATTTAGTCATATGGGGAAAGTCCCTCACAGACAGGCCTAAAGGTTTATTTCCATGGTAATTCTATTCCCATTAACTTGACAAGATAAATCATCAAAATTGGTTTTGGAATCACTGAGGAGACATACCTCTAGGAGTGTCTGTGAGGGGTTTTCAGGAGAGGATTAACTGAGGGGAAGATCCATCCTCAGCAATGAGATTTAAAGAGATCCAGATATACACCTGCCTCCCCTACTTCTTTCTGAACAAGTTCATCTATGGATGTTGTTCCTGTTACTCTTTCTTGACATTATGTTCTAGCTCTTCAGTCTTCTGATGTGACTCAATAGCAACAACTTTCCAGGGAGCTTCCAGGCTCTCAGCACTGGATGGGTTGAGACAGTTGAGCTTCTTAGACTGAACTCCAGGCTTATCTACCACTCCAACAAGCAGAAGACCACTATTAAGACTATCATGTAAGATAACAAGTCCCATCTTTCTCTCTTCTTCCTCCCCTCGCCCTTCCTCCCTTCTTTTTGTTCCTGTAGAGCAACTGCTTAATACATTTTTTTCAATTTTAAAGAAAGTGCCAGTTTCCAAAGTTAGTGTATCTGTTTGCATTTCTATCAGTAATGCCGTATTTCAAAGGCATTGTATCACAAAAGTCTTGGGATTGCAGCTTTTTTTTTAAGAGGCAGAATTATGATAGATTCCTAAGACATTTGTTAACTATCATATTTCTATTTTTATTTTACCAAAGTATTATTAAAGTAACTAATTATGGAAGCCTATTAAAATAATATATACTGAATAAAAAAGATCAAATCTTTTAGGAGGTATATAAAAGAAACATATTGATACAATGTATGGATTTTTAATTTTTTTCTTCTCCTAAGGTCACTTTATTTAAAAGCGCAAGACCTGAATAACCTTGAATACATTATGTTCAGTGATATGATCAAAGTGATTTTTTTTTTCTGTTCCGGGGCTTGACTCATGATTGCATTTTTTATTTTTGTCATGTACATGGTAGGATATCAGAACATGACTTCCAGATCAAAGTGAATTTTATAATCCTTAATTTATCCCCTTAAGAAGAAAGGTAAGGGCCGGGTGGTGGTGGTGTACACCTTTAATCCCAGCATTCAGGAGGCAGAGGCAGGCGGATCTCCGTGAGTTCAAGACCAGCCTGGTCTACAAGAGCTAGTTCCAGGACAGCCTCCAACGCCAGAGAGAAACCCTGTCTCAAAAAACCAAAAAAGAAAAAGAAAAGAAGAAGAAGACGAAGACGAAGAAGAAGAAGAAGAAGAAGAAGAAGAAGAAGAAGAAGAAGAAGAAGAAGAAGAAAAGTAAGATGCTTTCTCTTTTTCCTTGCTTTGAGATATAGAAATCATAAACCATAGTGGTGACCTAGCTTGGACAATGAGAGCAAGGACAACAAACAAAAGATGGCAGAAGGATAAGACAAGGAAGCATGAGTGTGAAACCTCTGTGGAATCAATGTGCTTTGCTTATACTAATTTAAAGCACCATATTACTGGTTGTTGGTTCAGTAGCCATGCATCCTTCAGCTAATAAACTGGTATTTCAATGGATATATTTAAATAAAAACAGCAAGTGTATCTCTTAACATATTAGTCTCAAAATGAATATTCTTATGATAATATTTGTACATTCTTTAACAAGAAAAATTAATATTACTTTAACGAAGCCATATTGAAGAAAACCATCTTGGTGTCTTTTGATTCATTTCCAGTAAGCAAAATAAAGTATAAACTGAACCACACAAGTAAGTTGACAAGATTAAAACAGTTTAAGGATTATTTAATATGAATTATTATATTTGGTAATATTATGATAAAAGCAAAAGAATTTGTAGAAATTCTTACCATGGAAAGGTATTCATCCGTATCCTATTCTTGTAAATCAGAATTCCTCCTGACATCACTCCAATCATGATTTCATTGTTACTTTGATCCTGCAAAATAAATAAACACATGACAATCTAAAATAGTTAAAACAGGATTAGATTTAAAAAAAAAAACACACATCTCAAAGACAGCACAAAACTGAATTATACTTTATTACAAACCTAAATAATTTGTTGTTGCCTCTTAAAAGGCAAATTTCAAAACAAGTCTAATTGTGGCAGTATTAAAATTCACTAATCTAGAAGCTGTAGAAATGCCTTAGCAGTTAAGCACTTGCTGCACAAGCATGAGGACCAGAGTTTGATCCTCAGAAACCCATGTGGACTTGGCAGCCCATCTGTAATTCCAGCCTTGGAAGGAGGAGAAAGGCAATTAATTCTCTGAGTGAGCAGTCTAGCAAGACTAGCCATATCAGCAAACTCTGGGTTTAATTCTGCCTAAATGAATAAGAAGTACAGCAATCAAGGATGATTCTTGACATCAACTTTGGGTCTCTATATACACATGTCCAGGTACACTCAAACATATGTAACAACATGGATACCACACAAAAAGAAAAAAATCATTGACCTAAAGTACAAATAATCTGATGATTTTTTTTCTTATGACCAGGACTCTTTAATCAAGGGTAATCTATAATAAAATATCTATACTACAATGGAAAACCCAGTAACTAATACTATGTATTAACATCGTGGAAAAACAAAACAGACAATTTGTGAGGTGTGTCCAATATCACAAAGAAGAAAATGTGTATTATGTTTTGAGGAATGTGTGTCCTGGTTCTGAGCCTGGGTGGTAGCTGGGTTGGGTAGACCACGAGCTTTCCCTCATTATCACCATCTGGGTGAGCTCTCCAGCACTACCCTGGCTAACTAACTCAATGTAGCAGACATTTCTCCTGCTCTCACACCCTTGGGTCCACCTCACCCACACTCATACCACCAGGGCCAGTTCAACTGTTTTGCCCCTGCAAGGTGCAGGGCCCACTCTCTGGATTGCTGCACTGTGAGGCAGAACCAGCCCTTTCATTCTCACAACCCCAAGACTGGCTTTCCAGCCTGTTGAAGGTGGTGGGAGTTGGGTGAGGGAATGGGAGGGACATGTTTCACTTCACCTTGAAGTTGTCATTGACTGTCAGGTATGGTGGCGCACATCTTTAATCCCAACACTTGGGAGGCAGAGGCAGGCTGATCTCTGAGTTTGAGGCCAGCCTGATCTATAGAATGAGTTCCAGAGAAACCCTGTCTCAACCCCACCCCCACCTCCCAAAAAAACCAGTCATTGTCTTAATTTTTCTACAATTTCCTATTCTATCATTCATATAACCTAGCAATTGCATTTGTATTTTTTCAAATGTGCCACGTTCTCTTTTGATTTCAAGCTTTCATTTGTGCTGATTGCTCTACAGTAACAAGAAAAAAATTCACTCTCTCAGCACACTCCCTTCTTCCAGAATAAGTGATTATACTACTAGAGTCATTCCTGTGCTAATTTATGTTTACATGCTGTCGCCACACAATCCCACAGCATCCTGTACTTTCTCCACTCAGTCTCATGGATGTAACTGTTAATACAAGATTCATGGATTGGTTTGCTTTTCTTCCATGCCCGCTCCCCACTATCCTGTGAATTTCATGAGGGCAGGAATAATTATGTTTTACTCACTAAATATTGCTGAGAGTGAACTCTGTGGAAAGCACAGAATAACCCCATCACAATGATGGCTTAAAAAATGTTTGAATCTTGGAACTTGAAATAAATAACATTGCTCCACTTGAAAGCAGAGAGCAAACATTTCCCCTTGCTTGTTATTTCAAATAGGCTTTTGCTTATGATACCCAATTAAAACTTAAGTCTTTTTTCTATGGTCCTCTTTTTGGAAAATTGCCTTTATACTTACTGAACAATCTTTTGAGGTCTTCATATGCACATCCAAGAAATAATGCCTTCCCTAGCCTTTAAAACTTTTTTTTTGGGGGGGGGGAGATATCATATTACCATGTAGTTAGGCTGGCCTGGGATGAGTGACCTTGCCTCAAGTTCCCAAGTGCTCAAATGGTAAGTCACTATGTGGGACATTTTTTGTTTGATTTGGTTTGAACAAAGCATGTCACTAAATAGCTAACCATTTAAAATTTAAATCTCTTTAAACTGACATTCTACATTTAGTCTCAGAAACTTTTTTTACAATCTAACAGTTTAAACAAATGAAAACTACTTTAATTAAATCAATAATTAACAATTTAGTTAGCTACATGAGATTTATCTAAATTTGTATTTAATTTTAATATTTTTTTTCATTTAATTGCCAAGAAACTTGGCAGATATGAAAATCACTTAGAGCTTTCTTGTTCCCTTGCTTTTGAAACTCTCTTGCTCTTATCCATCTGTCTGTCTCTCTCATGTCCCCACTCAGAGACAGCCTTTTGTTTTCCCCCAGTAAATCTCTTGTATGAGAAACAAAATCACTTCCAAAAACAGCAAAACAGTAAAACTCCCTTTTCTGGTCATGTTAAAGCATAAACTAATCAAAAAATGTAGTTCCATAGGTTGTAAACTTTCCTGTAATAAAAAGCAAAATCTAACTATAACAAACCTAAGCTCAAAAAAAAAAAAAAAAAAAATAAGCCCCAAACAAGAAGGAGAGTGAAGCCAAGTGGTGGTGGCACACACCGTTAATCCCAGCACTTGGGAGGCAGAAGCAGAGGCAAGCAGATCTCTGTGAGTTTGTGGCCAGCCTGGTCTACAGAACTAGTTCTAGGACAGCTAGGGATATTACACAGAGAAACCCTGTCTCAAAACCACCCCACCCTAAAGAAGCAGAGTGAAAGTCCTTTAAAAAAAAAAAATCAAGAGATACTTAGAGTGAAAGTCCTTTAAAAAAAAAAATCAAGAGATACTTAAAGAATTACAAGATATCAATCATTTGAGGAAACTATGCCATCAGGTCTTTTTAAAGTAAGACAGACATTGGATTTGTAAAACATAGAAAGTAGAGCTCATTGCCCCGAACCTGATCGGATAAGACCCTGAAGACAAAAGCACTGTGAAGCATAGAACTTTTAGTACTTCCACAGTAGACTCTGCACCTGCACCTGCAAGTTCAAAATAATTTACCTAAGGAAAACTATGGCTCTTAGTCCCCTTCTGGGCTAATACTAGCCTAATTAGGCTCAAGAATGTGTCTAACGTAATAAAAACTCCACTGCTGACTTAATTAATGACTATATTGCTATTGAAAATAGTTGTACTTTAGGTACTTCAAAGGAATTTAGATCTTGTTTACTCACAAAAAGAAACATAGTTACATATGATGGATAGCTACTCACAAATATAGGGAAAAGGGTAACAGTGTCTGAAAGGAAAACTGTTTTACACATACTAAAAAAAACTACACAGTGGAAAGCCAGTGGTAATAAATTCCACTTTAATAAAGAGATGCTAGGTAGATACAAACACAGCACACTGATATTCTTCATTTAGAGGTTTACAAATAAAAATCGACCATAAGATAGCTCAAAGTTGGAAACAATAAGGACAAGAATGAAAGTATCAGTGGCATGACAGCATTTTGAATGATCACGATTATCAAAGATTTATACAAAGTACTTTCCTAAAACAACCTTTTGTTTATAAAACAAATATTCTAAAACTACTGTCCCCTACAGTCTATATTGTTTTGCAACTTAACCATCTGGAAGAAACACCTATTTGTACTTATGCTATTGTGAAAATGTTTATACTGAGAGGAAATTTTTAGTCTAAGTCAACAGCAAACACAAATTATCTGTTACCTAGTTCTCTCAAGGAATTAAAATTTTTGAGGAGTTGGGTTTGTATGGCTAAGTATAAGAATACGTGCTCAACACATACAAGGCCTCAGTTCATCACCCCAGCTTTGAATAAACACAAAAAGAGTTTAAAATCTTGGATACTAAGGAATGAAGCCTAACTCAACATCTAAGTAATTTTTCATTACTTACCCTTGCATAGTGGAATTCAACTCCATAGAGTTCTAAGGTACGAGCTGTGTTTAGGTAATTAAATTCTGCTTCTGCAGGAGACAAGCCACTGTAAAGAAAATATCAGGTCAAAAACTAGATCCATAGTAAAAATTGCCAAATTACAAAAAGATTATATGAAGAAATAGTCTAACCACCAAGCAGAAGTAGTCCTTTTAGTTTTATACAGTAACGTCTAACTTAGTCCAAGGACATACTTTTTCCAGATTATTTTCCAGCACTGTAAGAATACAGTAAGTCTTGGGGCTCATGAGGTCATGGATCTTATAATCTATCACCACCCTTTTACTAGAGCAGTATAATTCCTCATTATATCCTTAAACTTTCCCTTATACCCACAGTTATATATAACTCTCTTTATCAAAGAAGCTTCTCTTCACAACAAATGGAACCTATTACAAAAAACCCCTAACAGGTCATAATGCAGAGAAACAACAAGTCATGGGTGGCCTAGCCTCACTAGATACATTTACAATACAACTCCTGAACCAAAGGTTCGGGGAACATTGAGAAAAGGGGAGCACAGTCCAAAAGAGCCAGCAAACCAGGAAGTCTGCTGTGAGACTCTGTCTTTTAGAAATAATAGGAAAGCTTCACCTATGATACCTCAAGCATATAGCTGCTTAATCTAGACCTGAACAATGGTGGTTCCAATAGACAAGATAACAGAGAAAGGGGAAATCACATGAGATCCCAACCACAAACAAAGAACAATTAATTTCTACTGAGAGGGTTGAAATTAGTCTTTCCCAGGGATAACCTCTAATTGGTTATCCAATACCAAATGATCCGTCAGCAAGCTGCACTCATATTTATGCATATAAGTATATATTGTGTTATATTTGAATTTATATGTAAAATAAAGAAGAAAGGTATCAATTTGAGAGGGAGTGAGGGGAGCACTGGAGGGATTAGAGTGAGAAAAGGGAAGAAGGAGAATGATATAATATTTAAATCTATTTTTAAAAGATGGGGACAATTAGGAAGAAACTATTGGGAAGTATTACAGATAAGTAGAGAAAAAGAAAAATAATACAGCAAGTTTTAAAACATGTAACTTATCTTACTGCTCTTAACAAAACCATTTAACTTCTAGACAACTCTCAAACATTTCTCACAGCAAAGTTTATACACCATAACCACATGAAAAACCTACAGGGCATGTCAACATGCAACACTGTCACAGCATACACAAACACAAGTATCAAGAGCATTTTAGAGCAACCTTGAGGCCTTTAAATGCTTTCAATGTCTCTATGTTAACCTTTCAACTATTCATTTATTTTTACTATATATTTCAAACTACATCATATATAGTCTAACACTGACTAATGAGGAGGAATGAGCCTTTCATCTGAGATGCTTAGAAGCACATTGCAACAGGGAGGTTAAGGTCCAAGCTTCATATTTAATATTTCCAGTGATGCTTAAAACAAAAATTTCAGAGCTATTCTAAAATATGTCTATTCTATTTCATACGTAGTTCTAATGACCTTAGTTATGTGGTGTTAGCAGGCAATACAGCAAAGAATTCTAAAAGCTATGATATCAACCTTTATATCACTGATACTGGAAAGGAGCCAACCACCTGCCAATGCATCAAATAAATGTGAAAATCAAATCAAAATGAATGTGACCCCCTGAACAACTGTCCTTCCAATTAAACTTAATTATGTTTGTGTTTATAGAATTGACAAATCAGCTTTTCAAACAGAACTAGCTTGTGGAAAACAGAAAACCTTTCCTTATTTAAGGGACTTTTAGTAGGTAAGTTTTAAAATTCCAATTTACATTCAAATCATTTACTCACACTATATAAAAAGTTTTCACTATAAACAGATGTCTTTTAGAGGAAAACAGCATGCTCACCACATACACCACTCAGTTTAAATTCACAAGTCATTATAGTCTACAGCAGATCCAAAACCAAAAAGCCTTTTACTAGGAAGGACTAAAACAGTATTTTAAAGCCTTATAGATAAACAGCCTTTGTAGCAACCACTTTATCATGTAAAAGCAAGCCATATCCAACATAGAAATAAATGAGATGTCTGTTCATTTTTGAACATTGGATTTCAGAAAATTTCACATCCTATAAAATATTATTTTCCCCTCAAGCATTTAAAATATATATAGACTGAACATGTAGCTCAATTTTAGAGAACTTCCTAACATAAGCAAGGTGTAGGTTTGATCAAAATATTTTGTAACATATTTAAATATATTACATTTACAATATGAACTAATATATATTGTATTACATAAAAAAATATTTTTGCTATGCTTTAACTCACTGGCTGTTCAAAATTAGGTACTGAGCTCTTGTTTTCTAACTTGTATAGATATCTGAATTATTACCAAATTGACAGTAAGACCTAATATTTCCTCAGTGTCTATCACACTGAGAACTTTGTATATGTAATCTCACTTAAGACTCAGAATTTCTGGCCAGTAGTTGTGGCACATGTCTTCAATCACAACACTCAGGAAGCAGAGCCAGGTAGATCTCTAAGTTCGAGGCCAGCCTTGTTTACCAGTTCCAGGATAGTCAGGGTTACACTTTAGAGAAACTGTCTCAAAAAACCAAACAAACTGAAGACTCAGAATTTCTAACTCAAGATACTTTAATTGTCTCAAATTATATAAGGAAATAGAGCAACACCAGCAAGACTATGGCCAAGGTTATAAAATAGTAAGTAATATGACTAGAAGTCCAAGCCAGTAAGTCTAACTCTAGTTCAAACTTTTAGTAATGTGCTACACTATCTTTGTTCTGTCACTATTCTGAATCATAGTTTAAAGTAAAACTTGACACACACACACACACAAAAGAGCAACATTTTTTTGTTTGTTATTTTTAAAGACTGGGTTTCCCTGTGTAGCCCTGGCTGACTTAATCATTCTGTAGACCAGGCTGACATCGGACTCACAGAATCGTAAATGCTGGGATTAAAGGCATGCGCTACCACCCCCCAAAAATAATTCTTAAGACCAGGCAGTAGTGGCACGCACCTTTTATAATCGCAGCACTTAGGAGGCAGAAGCAGGCAGATCTCTGTGAGTTTGAGGCCAGCCTATTATACATGGTGAATTCCAGGACAGCCAGGACTCTGCAGAGAGTTTTGATAAACAAAACAAACAAACAAACAATAACAATAACAATTGTCTTCTTGAAAAAAATGTCACAAGTAGATGCAGAATAAGCTCAGAAGCTGTTGCTCTTGAAGATGAGCCAGATTCAATTCCCTACATGGTAGCTCACCATCAGTCCCAGGGGTTCTGATGCTTGCTTCTAATCTCGTTGGGTACCAGGAAGGCATGTGGTCAACAGACATACATGCAAGCAGAACACTCATACACATAAAGTAATAAGTAAATCTTTTAAAAATGCCACAGAAGATTAGACTAAAATAAATTCAAAGCTGAATACTACTGTAAACAAAACAAGTTAACTACCTTTAAAAAGAACATTAAAAGAGCTGCATTGGGTTGTTACTTTTCTCCGCCTCACTTGTTACCAAAGAGAATCAACATCCTTTGAAACCTAAAAAACTAAGAAAATTATCAAATTGCTCTGCATACTATAAATACTTTGCTCTAAAAAAAATTTTAATTAAAGTTTTATTTTGTTTTTAATTACAAAGTATGTGGTATGTGTACTTATGGGTAGGTGTGTGCATGTGAGTATGGGTGTCCACAGAGGCCAAAGAGGGCATCAACATCACTTGGAGCTGGGAACTAAACTTGGGTCCTTTGTAAGAGCAACAAGCACTCTTAGCCATTGAGCCATCTCTCCAGCCACCTAAAATTCTTTCTTAAACAACAGACAATGTTACATAAAAGCAAATAAACTGTTTAAATATGAATATATTATGAAATAAGCAATGAAATGTTTTAGTATAAATCATCTGTGTAATATTTCTTTATAATATATAATAGAAATTTTTATATTAAATAAATACAATAAAATTAAGAAGGATGTAAAACATTTCTCGTTCTAGAAAATTCAATAAAGCTTATCAAATAAGCAGAAAATTAAATAAATGCTTACATATGTTGCTGATGTAACTTTATAATTTCTTTTTCAAAATCTTGAGGTTGATTAGGAATGAAAGAATAATCTGAGAGGTAGCCTGGCAAATTTTCTGACTGATTGTAGTCTCCAAGTTCCGCTAATAAGAAAAAGAAAATATCATGCTTTAATAAATATTTTAATTATACTCAAATCAGCAATGTTGTTAATTTGTACATATTTATGGAAGGAATATATGTTTCTAATGTAACCATATTAAACAAGTTGCAATAAATCACAAATTCTTCTGGGTCTCAATATCATAAAAAATACCAAGAATCAAAGTAATTGCTAACCAACTGGACATTTTGCTGCATTTCCTCAATAGTTCCTACATTCTACACATTTGAAGAACTCCTGTACTAATAGCAATGTATTATCAATACAGACTACAAATCATACACTACTTGACTTAAAAGTAAGCTGATACTCACACTGAACAACAAATGAAGCTAAAAGGGCAGCAGTATTATAAGGACAGGACAATCTAGTAAGACAAAAGAGAAAATATATAACCCAAGGATAAATATAATTTCAAATGTGCTGTAGTTTACTTTATACTACCGATACTGGAAGTTCCTCTATACATTACTTTTAACCATCATTAAATTAATTAAGCTAGGCTTTGTGGCATACATCTAAAACGATCCCAATACTCTTGAGTTTGAGATGACTGCCAGTTTGAGGCCAACCCAGGCTACATAATAAGACAAGTCTCAAAAGACAAGAAAAAAAAAAAAAAGAAAGAAAGAAAGAAAGAAAGAAACAACAATCCCCTCTAAAAAGTCTGAAAAAAGGAACAAATACTGCATAAAACCATTTTTTAATTTGCTACCCCAACCAACCATGAGTAGCTTAAAACAGAACTTAAAAGTATTTTTATACTATTAAAAAAAAAAAACTTAAAAATAGCTCACCTTCCAGTAAGAATGTCTTGCTTAATTTGCAAAAAATACTGATACCTTTAAAAAAAGAAGATGTTTATTAGAATCATCAATTTGAGTACTTATATACTCTATGCTTACATTAACAAAATTAATGTTTAAATATTTCCTTTTGTAATCTACATATTAGCACATATAAACTCAGCATATGCACACATTACTAAAAACCACCAGAAATAGGCTTTTGTGAATTGACTACAAGTCTTTAAAATTCATTAATATATGGAATTTTGTACTTTGTATTTCTTGTTTCTATTATAAAACTACTCAAGACTTCTAAGATCTCTGCTGCTGAGGAGGAGACTTGGGAGCAACAGAGGGAGGATGGGCCATGCAAGAAGAACTGGAAGCACAGACAACTTAAGCATCAATGACACAGAATTAGACAACACACAGAAATCAATGAAAAAAAAGCAATCTTTTCTGTGGAAACACAAAGTCAATACAAGGACAAGGTGTTCTGCATTGCTGAAATTCAAGAGCACAGAGTGGGCTCAAGCTGGCCATTTTTTCATCACACCTAATAACACCCTCTTCAGCTCTCTCTCTCTCTCTCTCCCCCTCTCTCTGCCTCCCCCACTGCTCCTTTTTCCTCTCTCCTGCTGCTCCTGTCCCAGGAGGCTGGTCTCCCCTCTTCCCTTTCCCCCTTTTCTGATCCCTTTCCCTAATAAAAATCCCCCCCTGCTTGAACCCTGTGGCATGGTGTCTTTCTCTCAAGCACTGTTTTCCTTAAATTACAACAGAAGGCCTATGTGCAGATCATTTTTTTCTTATGACTACTGTGGAAGAACAACTGTCTACTTCCCTGGAGTTAAGAATGCTCTTTCATCAGAAAATTAATCAAATTCCTTTTTCTACTATTAGAGTGGGTTACATGAACAGCTTCTTTTAACATGAACAACAGCATGCTGTGACACGCTGCTGGGGTTGCTTACAAAATGGCACTGTCCTTCTGTCCCTGATAGTGGGTAGGCTAGTCAATAGCTGAACAAAATAAAATCAATTGTGCTGAATAAAATTGACATAAAAACAAATTTCATGATTTCAAACATTAAACAGGGAGTTTAAGGGCTTCACTCAACTTTTAAAGTCAAAACTCAAAACATAAACATTATTTACTTACTTCAAGACAAAACAATTTTATCAGATCTACTTGGTTTCATAATCAAAATTTAAAGATAGGGCTGATGGCATGAGTCAGTGGCAGAGCATATGCTTACCATGTATAAAGCCTAATATCACTAAAAAGAAAAAAAAAATCTAAAAGGTCCTTGGTACAAAAACAGTTTTATAGTTGTGATTTCAAGGTAATATAAACCCTTGATATAATTGTAAAAATCCAAGTAATACTTATAATTATCAAAGGTCATTTAACAACAACAACAAAAGAATTATTAGAGTAAAAACCAGAATTCAAGTTCTGAAGCAAACTACTAAAATTTGGGCAAGCCTTAGTTTCTACATTGGTAAAGGGATATAAGATCACTTGCCAGGAGTGTATGTTTTAGGAGTTTAAAAATTCAATTCTAATGATGCTGTAACTTGCCAATATTGAAGTACATTTAATATGATGGAAGATGGATGCCACTGTTTTTCATCCCACTAACTCACAATGGTATCTCAAACAAGGAAGTACAGCAAACTTCCTTTTTTTATGAAATTGAAACTGCTCCTGAAGCATGAGTAGCTGTAGCTAAGGGGATATGTGATGCTAATCAGGGCCATCACACTGTCTGCTCTCTCTCTCTCTCTCTCTCTCTCTCTCTCTCTCTCTCTCTCTCTCTTTGAAAATAGATTTTTTTCATACACTATATTCTGATTATAGTTTCCCATCCCCCAAAACTCCTCCCAGATCCTCTTCCCCACACACCACGTACAAGTATTTAATCAAAGCAACAAGAGAAATAACTACTACAATATAATTGACAGTATTTTAATTGTTTATACTAACAGCATAAACATTAAAAATGCTAGAAATCTAATTTAAAATTATGGAGGTTTTGTTTCTTTTTTTAAACTGTTTCTTATATAATAAAAGTCTGATTACCTAAAACCTTTACCTTAGAGTATTTATACTGCTTTATAATTAAAATTGCTCCTTAATTCTAATTTCCTTGGACTTTAAGTATCCTGAGAATTATTTATAATGATAAAGATTATTTTAACTATTTAACATCAATAACACATCTGCTAAATTTAGTATGCAAATTGTATTGTAATACATAAAGTATGGTTTTAAAGGGAGAAAAAGCAACAACAAAACCTAAGAGTTATAATGGTAAATTAAACAACTTTGTTTTTCAAGAAAAATTTAGCTTGGATTCTATTATTTTTGCAGATATTTCAACTGTCTAAAGTAGCACCTGTACTCCAGTGTCTTCTCATTATCAAAAAGGCAACATCAGCAAACAGAAAAGACTTCCAAGAACTACGACTTTTTTTTTTAATGCTTGGTTTAGTATTGAAAACTTCACATAAATCCGAGGAATGGCACTGTAGACTAATTCAACAGCTTTATTCTTCTGCTGCTCCATTCTATTACATCACTAAAGTATTTCTGATGGTCACTCACCTATATTCTTGTATTTGACAAGTGTACAGAAGATATAGTATTCTAATTCTTTTCATTTAAATTATTAATTCTGCATTTCACCAAATGCACAGAGTTGTCATTCAGCTTACTGTAACAATGACTGTCATTACTTCTCTTGCTTCTATCCTAAACATTTTAACTAATTCTCAAGGACACTGCTGAAAGGCTCCTACAGATCATTCTTGAGTACTTTCTCAAGTAAAGGTGGCATGCTGAGAATGGGCAGACAGGTGGGCATGTAGAGGCCCAATGTGCTTTATCCCTTTATCCCTGCAACATCCTTTGTAAAATCCAGTGTATTTTCATATTTTCTTTGTGTTATGGAATTTTATGTTCTCCATAAAAAGAAAGAAAAAAATCCTAGAATATGCTTATGCATGAAAAAAATATAGACCAGACTCTCTCACTGTGCATCATACTTGCATATAATCTAGTGCCATCTCATTTCCTCATTTAATTCCAGCTGTTTGTAGCTGGATGAGGTGGCTCTGGGTATCCAACTCCTGAAAGCTCTCCCAGTTATCCAAACAGGGAGGAAATGGTTACATTGGGACAATTTATAACCTTTTCGGTATGCTAAATTAGAAGTTCAAGTTTTCAGTATGGTGATTTATTTTTGCCTAGTTAATTTCACTTTTTCATATTAGATCTTTGCCAAGTTTTCAACAGAAACCCACCTTGTATACTCTTCTTGTAACTTGTTGGGGTCACTTACAAAGAATTTGACTCTAAAGTTCAAACTGTAAGGAGATCCTCCTAAAATTAACAAAAACAGCTCTAATTAATCAGATTATATTAGTCAATTATCTTTATAAGGCATATTTGCAAAACACCAAGTAAATGATATGCTTACTCTTTAGCTGCTTCCTTATTGGTTTGTTTGGATCCAGCCACCTCTGAAAAATAAAGAAGAAATATTTCTCTTTTGCCTGAGAAACTAGCATTATCAGTTATTGTGTATCTGTTCCACCTGAAGACAGCATTTTGGAAAAGGCTTAGGTTAAAAAAATTAAATTAGAAGCAATATTGTTTCATGATCACTAGTAATGTACATGGGGGGTACCATCCCTAGGCAGGTGAACCTGGGGGCCATTAGAAAGGCAGTCCAGCATGAGCCTGGGAGCAAGCCAGTAATCAAAATTCTTTCAGGGTTCTGTTCAGGCTCCTACCTTGATGTCCCTTGCGTAAGAGGAAATAAAACTCTTTGTGCCTGAGTTACCTTTGCTCAGTGTTGTATCACAACGAACTAGTACAGTCATAAACTACATTTACTTTAATGACTTAAATGTGAGACTAATCTACCCAAAGCCTGATTTCCCTGTTCAGTTCTCCTTCAAACAAAAATGCTCTGATATAAGAAACACAAATACTTAAATAAATGTGCAAAGCTGACAAAGCTTAGAAATAATGTATGTTATAATAAGCATTGAGAAACTTAAAGGTGCTCACAAGTGACATCAATAAGACAGGACTTAGGTTCTTAAAACCATGAAGGTGGAACACTGATAACATGTAGTGCTGGGCTACTAAATGGCTACATTCACAGTTAAAAAAAATAGATCATCAAATCAAGAAAATAAACAAATAAAAAACTAGGAATGGGCTGTTGAGATAGCGAAGTGAGAATGGCACTTACAGCCAAGTCTGATGACACGAATTTAATAATCCTAAACTCACAATGTGAAGGAAGACTTGATTCTCAAAAGTTGCCCTCTGGCCTCCACACATGTGCTGTGGCACAGGTGCACACCACCACAACACACACACAATACATTAAATGTAGAAAAACAAAAAGAAAAAAATTTAAACAATCAACCCACAAAGAATCTTATACATCAATAAGAAAAAGACCAATATTAATGGAAAAAAGGCAATGGACAGTAAGTTCATAACTAGGGAATACGTGGCATTTAAATATACAAAGATAGTCAATCTTGATCACAATTAAAGAATTCAAAATGAATGTATACTGGGCTCTGCTTTTGAGACTTTGTTTCAGTAATTAGAGTTAATGCTGGCTCTGAATTTATAAACCTCCTGCCAGAGCCTTCAAAGTGCTAGAAGTACAGGCATATGTCACCACACCTCTGTACCCAACAACATAAACTTTTAAAAATTAGTGGCACCCTAATTAATGAACAGTGCTATGTGTGTCTCAGTTTCATTTCTAAATGTGTGATACAAATACCCTGACAAGAGCAACTTAAAGGAGAAAGGGTTTGTTTTAGCTCACAGTTCCTGGTCCACTCTAGAAGGCAGGTCACAGCTGCTAGCTATTTACATCACATCCATGGTCAAGAGCAGAGTGCAATAAAATAATGCATACATGCTTGAGCTTTGCTCACTTTCTCCTTTTAATACAGTCTAAGACCCAAACCCAGAGAATGATGCCACCTTTTAGGCTCTTCCTTCCCATATCAATTACCATACTCAAGAAAACCTCACACAGACACACCCACAGGCCAACATAGACAGTCACTCATTGTGATTTCTTTCCCAGGTGATTCTAGATTGTATCGGGTTGACAACTAAAACTAAGCAACACAAACTGCTTTATACTGCTAATTAATATTCCAATTCATAGATGTGCTACTTTTGGGTGGATAGGTTATTCTATTCTTTCGAGTAATAGTGCTATGAATATCTAAGCACAAATTTTTTTGTATAGAAATGTTTTCAAGCCTTGGGTACATTTTGAAGACAAGTTTTATAAATTCTATTTTACTTTGTGTGCATACTAGTGTATGCAAATGTACGAACTCACTCACATGTAAGTGGGTAGTAAAACTGTGTGCTTGCATGAGCATGTGTGTGTGTATGTATGCACATGAGCGTATTTGTATGTGAAGGCTAGAGAATCTAATCTTGGATGTAGTTCCTCAGGAGCCAGGCGCTTTTTTTTTTTTTCTTTTTCTTTCTTTCTTTTCTTTTTTCTTTTTTCTTTTTTTTTGAGACTGGGTCTCTCACAGGGATGTAAAGTGCTCCAATTTGGCAAATACATGCTCATTTTCTGGAAAAAGGTAAGTGATTGTCTGGTTATATTTGATATTATTGTTGCTACATTGAAAGCATTAGCTTCCTACAGTATTTACTGTATCTTAGCTACTAAGTAAATAAGTAAACTATGATAACTATAATTTCCAAAATTGTTCATTGTTTTCTTGTACAAATGCTGTAACTTCTCTAATCATGCCACACTGGAGTCTATATGTGGGTGCATGTGGAGGGCAGAAATCAGTGTTGGGTATCTTCCTCAATTATTCAACACCTTACTTTAAAAAAAATATTACATTTTATTGGGGGCACATAAATATACCATGTGTGCACATGGAGATCAAAGGACTACTTTCAAGAGTCAGTTCTCTCCTCCCACCACATGGGTCCCAGGGATCAAACTTGGGTAATCAGGTATGGCAGTAAGCGCCTTTACCCACTGAGCCATCTTGCTGACTCTCCATTTTATCTTTTGAAGCAAGGCCAGTAAGTTGCAGGCTCTTCCTCTTTCTGCCTCCTTGCTGTTGGGATTATAAGCATGTACTGCTGTGCTCAGCTTTTCTTATGGTTTCTGTAATATCAAACTCTAGTTCTCATTAGGCATGGCAAGCACTTAACCAACTGAAGCAGTCCAAAAAGACCAAAAGATCTTTTATTTTAATATTTATTATATGCTTATTAATGTGACAAGCCCTGCTATACGTAATACATACATAAAAACTCAATTCATCTCCTTAGCCCCAAGACTGGTACTATTTGTGTATCTTTCAGATCATTCTTCCCAATATAAAATATGGTTTATTCACTTGGATAAATCTATTTCACAGTGTTGACTTCCCTCAAATGTGGGGTCTATTTGCTAAAAACTTATTTTTATTTGAAACTCTAAGATTTTCTGTGAATACTTTCTACCTTTGGAGAGAAGACCAAATACATAGTTTGACTCAATAGTTGGTGAAGGATTAATAACTGCCACTAGGTTGTGACAGCTAGTGTCCATGTTCATCTAGTATAAACTAGTCCACCAAGATGTGAGCTGCTCTACTCTACAGCTTCTCATGATGAACTCACACCTCATGAATTATAAGCTGAAACAATTGTTTTCTTCAGTATTACCGTTAGAAATTTTGCCACAGCAATACAAAAGTAATGGATACAGGGGGGAAACTTTTAGTATAGCTCTACTGTACTGTCTAGTATCTTTCCATTTCAACTTGAAGGTTATATCTTTAGCAGTTAAGGTAATTCTAGTGGTAATGCATTCCTTCAGCAGTAATTTACCTGAGAATACCTTAACTTCCACCTAATTTTGTTTTGTGAGACTGTATCTCACTGTCTTGGTTAGGGTTTTATTGTTGTGAAGAGATGCTATAGCCATGGCAACTCTTATAAAGGAGAACATTTCATTGAGACTCACTTATAGTTCAGAGGTCTAGTCCATTATCATCATGGCAGGGAGCATAGCAGTGGAGAAGGGGCTGAGAGTTCTACAACTTGATCTGCACGCAGTAGGCAGAAGTGCTTTGAGTTTCTGAGACCTCAAAGCCCACTCCCTAGTGACATACTTCCTCCAACAAAGCCACACCCACTCCAACAAGGCCATATCTCCTAATAGTGCCACCCTCTGTGGACTTGAGTTAAAACACTCAAGTATTTAAACATATGAATCTATTCAGATCTTTCCTATTAAAACTACCACACTTACTAAGTAGCCAGCTGGGCTTTACCTCCCAATCCTCCTGTCTCAGCCTCCAAGTGCCAAGACAACAGGTGCCATACCTGAACTCCCTCACATTTGAACTAATTTTATTGGATAGAGAATCTGTCAGTTCACTGTAGTTTACATCCAGTATTTTAACTGTATTATGCCATTGCCTTTGGCTTACAAATATTCTATCAAATCCCCTACTATGTTGAGGATCATTTATAAATGTTCAGACATTTTTGTCTTGCTTCTTTCAAGATTCTCTGTTTGTCAACAGTTTTTAACCACTCAGATGCTTCTTCAAATTTGGGGAGCTTATGTCATTAACTTCTTCAAATAATATCTTTATTCCCTTTCTTCTCTCCACTTTCTAGAGTTATTCCTCTCGTTTGATTTTTCTACTAATCCTTCTTAGATTCCATTTTCTAAGAAATTCTTAAAATTTAGTTAGTGGTATGTAAATACCAGCACAGGTGTACCATGTGATGTTAAAAGTAACCAAAGATGGAAAAAGATGCAGTTGAAAAAACAAAGACATTTGAAGGAAGTCCACACTGTGAAATAGGTTTATCCAAGTAAATAAACATATTTTATACTGGGAAGAACAATCTGTGTGGATAAACAAATAGTACCATTCTTGGGGTTGAAAACAAAAGTTGAAAAACAAAATCACAGTAGGTGAGATGCACACTTTTCTAGTTTTTAGCCCAAGGGCAACCTCTAGTTTTTTATGAGACAAACAACATGCTTGAGATATCAGAAGACAGTTAGGAAGAAAGAACCTTAGATAACTGAAGGTGAGTTCTAAAAGGAAGAAATCAGTGAAAAAAAGCTAAGGTCCAAACAAGCACAGACATACAAGCCACCCCAATTCTTGTTGAAAAATTAAATACACATGTATAAAAAGGCCTAAGAGCACCCACCACCAACAACAAAAAACAAACAGCTGGAAACTTTAAAAAATGAGTAGAGTACCAGCAGGCTGTCTTGGTAAAACCTGACCACCCAAGTTAGATCCCTGGAACCCAAATAGTGAAAAGAGAACTAACTACTACCAAGTTGCTCTGTGAATGCTGTGGGATACCTGTACCCACATATACACACACCCTTCTTCCTTGGCATCATTTATACTGAAATTATAAAAGCAAACCATTGTTTACAAGAAATTTTCCTTTGTATTGTATTACTACCAATAGTTGATAATACTCATTAATCATTAATCTGTCTGTACTGTGGTTCTGGGGATTGAACCAATGGCTTTATACATACTAAGCAAGTGCATTACCACTGGACTATTTTCTCAAACCTTTCTATACTTTTAATTTTCAAATAGTGTCTCATCAAGGCTGGCCTTGAACTTTTCCACTATCCTTGTAAGATCCTTGAAGCTATGATCTAACTCAGTTTCTCAAGTACCTGAGTGCATCACCTTGAAATTTTATATCTGTGCCAGCAGGCTGACTAGGAATACTTAATTCAGTGACTCCAATGGATGTATACTAACCTTTCAGTTTCCTAAAGCATATCACGCAGTGTTTAGCAAATATTCTTTTTCATAGCAAAAGGTTACATTTTCTTATGGTTTTTCATTATGAATGAATAGACACTAAATTTTATTCTATATAAATGATGCTTCAATTATGTGTATTTAGTTTTAAATGGGGTTCACAGCTTAACTGATAATGAAATATTCAATACTTTCTTTAGATGGAAAAGACAAAGTTACCTCCCTATCACTGCTATTCAGCACCAGCCTAGTGATCCCTTGCTATGCAATAATGAACAACAACAGCAACAAATAACAAGAAAGAAACAAAAGAATAAAGACTAAGTGGACAGGGAAAAATAAAAGTGCCTATATGATGTAATGATTTACCAGTGCTCATTAGGAATAATAAAACAAATTACTTCAACCAGAGTTTATAAAGATACAAGATTGTGACATAATAATACAAAGGAATAAGGTAGTTTTGTGTTTATTTATTTATGTTTTCCAGGGCAGGGTTTTTCTCTGTAGCTCTAGCTGTCCTGGATCTAGCTCTCTAGGCTGGCTTTGAACTCACAGAGATCCACCTGCCTCTGCCTCCTGAGTGGTGAGAACAAAGGTGTGCACCATTACCACCCAGCTTGTAAGCATTTATTTTTCACTTAAAAACTTAATGATACTTCTTAATCATAGTAAGAACTAAATGAGATATTGTATGTAAAACAGTTGATTAACTACAATAGATGCGTCATAAATATCACTCCTTATTTCTTTCTCTTTAAGGAATGGAATCCCTTTCTTTTAATATATTAATTATCCTCAACACCTTAGGATAACATCACATTAACAATCAGGAGGGCAGGGGAGATGGCTCAGTGGATAGGAATGCTTACTGTGCAAGCATAAAGACCTGAGTTTGAACCCTAAGCACCCACATAAAAAGTTCGGCATTACAGTTTCTGACTGTAACCCCAGGAATTAGAGGATGGAGATAGGTAGACCTTGAAAGCTTGTTGGTAAGCCAGCCTAGCCTAAACAGTAAGCTTCCAGTTAAGTGAGAATTCCTATCTTAAAACAAGGCAGAGGGGTTGCTGGAGAGATGGCTCAGAGGTTAAGAGCACTGACTGCTCTTCTAGAGGTCCTGAGTTTATTTCCAACAACCTCATGGTGACTCACAACCATTAATAATGAAATCTGGTGCCCTCTTCTGGTGTGTAGGTATACATTGACACAGAACATTGTATACATAATAAATAAATAAATTGAAAAAGAAGGAGGAGGAGGAGGAGGAGGGGGAGGAGGTGCAGGAGGAGGAAGAAAAGGAGAAGAAAGAGGAGAAGGAGGAAGAGGAGGAGGAGAAGGAGGAGGAGGAGAAGAAGAAGAAGAAGAAGAAGAAGAAGAAGAAGAAGAAGAAGAAGAAAAGTCAGAGAATGAAAGAGTAAGGCATTCCATGTAATGGCATCTTGTTTCACCAGTGGACTTTCGGTGGTGGCCACATCCTAGGGGTGTGGCTTCAGGTGTGCAAACATGACCCCTTATGAGGAGGGGTTGGCTTGCTCTCTTGGGCAGTAGTCAGGACTCTGGAGACTGATCTTAAGGAGCAGGAAGACTGCAGCAGTTATTTACTATTGTATAAGCTCTTCCCTAATAAATACATGTTAATCATTTATCTTGGGTCTTGTGGACTCATTTAAACCCCGCCTTCAACCCCACATCTCCTGTTCTGTACTGCATACCCATACATTCACATGCATGCAACACACACACACACACACACACACACACACACACACACACCACAACTAACAATGGGACAATATAATAATTTAACTCGTAAATCTCTTCCTTGGAAACATTCTGACATTAGATAGCTCTTTCTGAATATTTAAATATAAAGTTCAGTGGTAGAAATAACAGTTCTGTATGAAAAATGAGTGCAGGGAACTAAGGGAACCAGGTTTTATTAATGACATAAGTAGCTCAGGCTTTAATGACTTCTAAAAATGTGAGTGTGAAAATTTCCAAAGCTTCTTTTAAGATTTAAAATTCTGAAACTATTCTATTAAAACAGGCTTAAAATATGATTTGGAATTTATTTAACTTATGTATACCAGTTTGTGTACTATGTGAGTAAGAACTCAGAGAGGCCAGAAAAGGGCATCAGATCCCATATAACCAGAGTTACTGGGTGTTGTGGAGCTGTCATACGGGTGCTAGAAACCAAATCCAGGTCCTCTGCAAGAGGAGTAAGCTAGCTGAGCCATCTCTCCAGCCCCAAAAATAGAATAATAAAACATTGATTCAGAGAAACCCTGTCTTCAATCTACAAATTTTCTTTTTTTAAACTTAAATTCTTTAATTACTACTCATATTTACATATCCATCCCCCCATTCCCTCACCCTCCCATCCTCCCATGTTCCCCCAACTCCTCCCCAGGGACAGTGAGGCCCTCCACCAGGGAACTTCAAAGTCTGTCATATCGTTTGGGGGAGGGCCTAGGCCCTTCTTGCTGTATCTGGGCTGCAATAGTATATCCCTCTATGGGGAATGAGCTCCCAAAGTCCATTTGCACTCTAGGGTTAAAGACTGAATTTTCTAAATAGCACAAGTATTTAAAAATACACTCCTCTTGACCAGGTATGGTAGCACACACCTGTATCTCAACACTGGGAGGCTAAGGACTAAATATGAGGCCAGTGTGGGCTACATAACCAACACTTTATGTTTGAACACAGAGGGAAAAAAACCAGAATTCTGTTCCATTAACCAAAAAGATACCATGGTTTTGTTAAGTCTATCACAGTCTAACCACATAAAATTACAAAGAATTCAGCTAAGATATGTTACTACATCCTTCATCTAGGTTCATAATAGGTATATTTCTTTGGTGCAATTTATAATGCTTAATTGTCAAAGTAAGTATTTCTATGATTCACCACATCTTATCCTCTGTTTCGCTGACCTGCTGTATATAACCAGAAGAACCATGACTGGGAGTACTAAAAAGTAGGTAGAAACCTAATGGATTTTAAGACTGAGGATTTGTACAGCTCTGAAATGGAATATCTCATTTAAGAAGTATCTTTACTTGTATGACAATGCATTATTTGGGTATATGCCCAAGAGAGGAATTGCTGGATCTTGAGGTAGATTGACACCCATTTTTCTGAGCAACCGCCATACTGATTTCCAAAGTGGTCTTACAAGTTCGCACTCCCACCAGCAATAGAGGAGTGTTCCTTTTTCTCCACATCCTTTCCAACATAGATTGTCATTGGTGTTTTTGATTTTAGACATTCTGACAGGTGTGAGGTGGTATCTCAGAGTTGTTTTGGGTTGCATTTCTCTGATGGCCAAGGATTTTGAGCACTTTCTTAAGTGTCTTTCTGCCATTTCAAATTCCTCTGTTGAGAATTCTCTATTTAGTTCTGCACCCCACTTTTTAATTTCATTGTTTGGTGTTTTGGTGGGTAACTTCTTCAGTTCATTGTATATTTTGGAGAACAGCCCTCTGTCAGATGTGGGGTTGGTGAATCTTTTCCCATTCTGTGGGCTGTCATTATGCCCTACTGACTGTGTGGAGAGTAGGTCGGGGATGGGGAGAAGGGGTGCGGGGAGGGAAGGGAGAGGGAGAAGGGATTGACATTGGAAACAAGCTTGTTACTAATTTGAACTAATAAAAAAAAAAAGAAAATCTTATTTAAAAATTAAAAAAAAATTACCATAGTCTGTGGCCCTTCTGGATGGAGACTGGACTAAAACATACTCCATGAAAATAAAAAAAAAAAAGAAGTATCTTTATAAGATATTCTTACCTAGAAAATTTCCACTAACACATTAAGATTTTTATGCTAGAAAACCCATGAATATCACCAAACCACCCAATTTTATTTTAGTAGACTTATGTATGCCAAAAGCAGTGGTTTTCGACTTTTTAATGCTGCAACCTTTAATATAGTTACTCATGCTGTAGTGACACACAACCATAAGATTATTTTCATTGCTACTTCACAACAGTAACTTTGCTAATGTTAAGAATCATAATGTAAATATTTTTAGAGATAGAAGTTTGTCAAAGGGGTCATGACCCACAGGTTGAGAATTGCTGATCTAAGGATTTTCTCTCTTTAGATCACAAAGCCTTAGTCTAACTTTTTAATTGTCCAAGACACAATGAAACCAGTACTACACTTACAAGTTGACTTATAGCTAAAAGAAATATCTAAAAGAAACAGACTCAGATATCTTAGAACAACAAGAAAAGTAGAACAGACAAAAGCATTAGACAAAAGTCTAATTATTCAATTAAAAATGTTAAAAATCATTAAATCAGAAAGGGCTTTATATAGTGAACACAGAAAAACTACAAGGAAATGAAAGACAACTGCTTGAACTTACTGGGTTATCTGTGGAATCGTCAGCCAACTGTAAACCAAAATAGTCTCGCTCAGTCAAATCAACATGCTTGAAGACTATATCCAACAGAACTTGTCCCTGATGATGTTTCTGGAAGAAAAATATATAAAACCATATTTAATAGGCTGATTTTATGCTATTTCTTTTCTTAAGACTGGTCTTGAACTCAGATCCACCTGCCTCTGCCTCCCAAGTGCTAGTATTAAAGGCATGCGCCCCTACACCTGGTGTTTTATGTTTTTTAACTTTGTATAACTTTTTGTCCTTTTTTTACTTATACCAAAGACTTGGTTGAAATAAAGCTTCACATGTGAATACTTTAAGAAGAAAATAATAGATATGAAGATAAGAAACCTTTAATTGAAAATGCCTCTTGTAGGCTATTATCAAGGCATTTTTATTATTTTATATTGTTGCCACAATAATGTATGTATGTGCATATATGTATGTGTATATATGTATGTGTATATATGTACATATGTGTATATCTATCTATATAAATGTGTATATCTATCTATCTATCTATCTATCTATCTATCTATCTATATATGTCCATGCGATAAGACTATGTTCATTGGGATTAGAGTGGAGATTAAGAGCACTTGCTGCTGTTCCAGAAGAGTCAGGTTCAATTCCCAGCACCCACATGGTGGCGTTGGAACCATCTGTAACTCCAGGTGTCCCTACACCCTCTTCTGACCTCTGAAAGCACGCCATTTGTGGTGCACAGACATGATCTAGGCAAAATACCCAAACACATATAATTTAATTTTTTAATTAAAAGAGTATATCATTGACAGTTTTTATCAATTTGGGAATTCTATAAACAGTAAATAGCATAAAATTCAAACTTCAGACTCATATAAGACAGTGTCATAGTTACAAATTCTCAGGATGACTTATCTAGATTCCATACAGACGCAGAAAAGCCTCTTTGTTCTCCTATTTCCCTTATTTTATCTAACATTTAGAATGTTGTCATCTAGAATGCAGGCTTTTCATAGAATGTTTTTATAAAGTATTTTGCTTTATTTGGACTCACAGATTGCACATTGTTGTTGCACATGTGGGATAAAACCAAAGTACTTGCTTTTTAACAAGCCCCAGTACAATATGCACTCAAGTTTTACTTATTTTTATTGTGTGTTGGAAGATTTTTTTAGCTGAACTGCACATACACAAGTATAACTCAAATATATTTTTAAGTTTCTTAGATATATCATATAATGATACAAATTGGGTGAAAGCAAATGATGAATAATGAAAAAGATAAACCATGAAAACATGAAACATAAGCGTGCCTATATTAGTATCAGAGAAAGGGGACCTCAGAGCAATAGATTTTAAGGGACAAAGAGATAATATAAATGACAAAAGTGGCCAATCCACCAATAATAAAGTAATCTCTTAACTAAATGCCTGGTGTGTTTGTGTGCATTTAAGTGAAGATTAAGAAGGGAAGAAGTTACAGATGGTTGTAAGCCACCCAACATGGATGCTGGGAACTGGACCACTGGACCTGATTCTCTGCAAGAGCAATATGTTCTTAATCACTTGAACCATCTCCCCAGTCCCAAGACAGCAATCTTAAATGTATACTTATGAAAATCAGAAAAGAACAATGCTGGAGAACTCACATTTCCCAACTTTGAAAATTTCTATGAATCTACAGAAATCAAGATGATGTGATACTCTCATAACAACAGACATTCAAGTAGGAAAGAACAGAGAGTCCAGAAACCAACTATTGCATTTGTTGTTACAAAAGCTAAGAACATCCAATTAGGAATGAACTGTCCTTTCAAGAGATGATGCTAGGGTAAGTGGATATCCATGGGCAAAAGAATAAAATTGAATCCCTCCCTAACATCATGTAAAAAATAATTCAAATTCTACCATGTACCAGGTTTTTTTTTTTTTTCCCTTTTCTTTTTCTTTTTTGGTCTGACAAGCTGGAATCCAAAGGTTAAATTTTTCTATTAAAAGAAACCACCAAGGGGCTGGAGAGATGGCTCAGAGGTTAAGAGCAAAGGCTGCTCTTCCAGAGGTCCTGAGTTCGATTCCCAGCAACCAGATGGTGGCTCACAACCATCCGTTATGAGATCTGGTGCCTTCTTCTGGAGTGCAGATATACATGGAAGCTGAATGTTATATACATAATAAAGAAAGAAACCACCAAAACCATGAAAAGATAACCCAGAGAATGAAGAATGGAAGATAAAATTTATAAATCACATACCTAACCTAGTAACTAGTGGCTTATATCCAGAATATAAAAAAGAATTCTTACTATTTAATAATAGAAAAGATGTTAGCAAGATATGCGAGTAGGCATTTTTCCAAACTTATACAAAGCAGCAATAGAGTCATGAAATAATAAAATACAATTTCCTGTTGCAGTACAGAAAAACAGTCAAAGAAAGCTACATGGCATTTTGAAATAAAATACAGACTGGAGCTGGCTCAATGCATCACCAAAGAAAGGCACTTGCCATCCAGTCTGATGGGCTAAGTTCAATCACTGGGGCCCACATGTTAAAATATTTAACCTCTGACCTCAAGGTATATGTGCTCCTACCTCAAAGGAATTAAATAAATGTAATTTAAAAAAAAGAAAAAGAAAAGAAAAGAAAAAGTAAGGCCATGAAAAGGGTGCACTTTGCAGGAGTCAGACATGTCAAATTCGGTACCACCTTTGAAACCCTCCAGGAGCACTTTAACTGCATGAGCACAAAAATGGCTCAAGCTGGAATATACTCTACAGAGAAGGATCTAAGCTTATGGAAGTGAAAGACAAACTCTTGTACATGTGCCTTATGGATCTGAGACACCTCATCCTGACAAAGCCTTAGGAGGATCTCTGCAGTCTTGAGGCTGGTGGAGATTTACAAGGCTTTAGAAAAACTTCATCCCTTGGACCAAAAAATGAAGTATTAAATTGACAAACTAGTCAAGACTGCAGAGATGGGTAGCCTCTCTACCCACTTAATTTTAAGCCCCATTCCAGCAATGTGCTAAGCAAGTTGAGCTCTGAGGATGAAGAGGAAGATGAATCAGAGGAGGGACAGTCTCAGGCTACAGGGAAGAAATCTGTAAAAGGCGTGTTTAAATATATCTCACCATACTTGGTTCCAGTACATAATGACAAAACAAAAGCTTAGTGGTGGCAAAAGCATCTAGAACAAGCCAAGAGATGGGTATTGAGCATCTCTGTCATTTGTGAGCTTAAGAAGTGCTCAGATATCCCAGAAGAAATCCGTGATGCCTGGCATCTTCATGTCACTTGTCAGAGTCAGGAAGATCAACATAGGGTTAACTATGAAGAAAGAACATGAAGATGTTTAAGTGCTAGCAAGCAAGAGAAAGGACAGTGAAAGCAACAAGCATTATGAGCTTACAACCTCATTCCCTCACACACTTGGCGACATCAATGCTTTGATGAGAGGAAACACTCATTTGATGAGGATCAGAATCCTATTAAAAAGCAGAAGTAGATACCTAACAAAGGTCAGAAGAAGAAAGGTTTCAGAGGCATCAGTGACTTGCTTATGCACTTTCTGTCATTCTAGGATGCTTCTAACTTTACTGTATGTATGTGTTTTTCTTGGGACGCATTGGCCTTAGAAATGTGGAAAGATCTTTACCAAACAAATTTTACTTTGCTTATAAATTACAAGAAAAGGTAAAAGTGCTGCCAAAACCATTATACTTAAAGATGATAAATATATAATTTGCTGAAGTCATAACAATTTTTAACTGGTGTGTAACAAGGTGTTACAAAAATATATATAATGTAAACTACAGTGCAATGTCATTGATAAGAGAACAGGAGGCAGAAACTGGAGAGGCAATTAACTGTAAAAAGATTCCAATGTCCCACTGCCCATGCCAGGTGGCTCACAACTGCCATGTAACTCCAGTTCAAGGGGATCTGATATCCTCCTTCTGGCTTCCATCAGCACGCGCACATACACACACACACACACACACACACAGAGAGAGAGAGAGAGAGAGAGAGAGAGAGAGAGAGAGAGAGAAATATCCATACACATAAATCAATTTTTAAAAGAAAAATGATCAGTTTCTTTATGTTTAACATTCAGAACTGTCCTTGGGCGTTGATAGCCTTACCCTTTCCAGAGGAACAGATGCCAAGAAAGGATCCCAGCTTCTCCTCATCTCATTCCACTTCTGAAATATACCTTTCCTAGAAACCATACTGTGGACATGACTAAAACTTGAGATACCTCAACACCCAACATTGAGTCATTGGCCAGAAGTAGTAAGTAGCACATGCCTATAATCTCAGCATGGAAGGCTAAGGCAGGATTAGAGTTTGAAACCAACAGGGGATTATACCATGAGTTCTGAGCCAGCCTGGGCTACATAATGAGAACCTCTTTCAAAAAGGGGACTGGAGAGAGGGTTCAGTGGTTAAGAGCACTGACTGCTCTTCCAGAGGACCCAGGATTGATTCCCAGCACACACACACGACAGCTCATAGCCATCTATTAACTCTAGTTCCAAGGGATTGGATGCTCTCTTTTAGCCACAGCTGCCACTCTATGCACATGGTGCCCAGGCATGTATGGATGCACGATTGTATCCTAATTGCCTTTCTGTGACCATGATAAACACCCTAACCAAAGCAATTGAAGGGAGGAAGGGCTTATTTCAGCTTATAATTCCTGGCTATAGTCCATCACTGTGGAGAAGTCGAGAGCATTTTCTCTCTTCTCTCCATCCCCTTTTTGTTCAGTTCAGGGCTAGCTCATGAAATAGTGTTACTCGAATTCAAGATGAGTCTTCCCACTTCAATTAACCTAATTAAGAAAATCCACCACAAACATGCACTTGGATAAACCTCTAGATTATCTTCTCAGGTGAGTCTAGATTGTATTGAGTTGACAGTTAAAAGTAACCATCACAGATCACCACAAATTCAAGGCGAATCGGTATACAGTGAGTTCCACATGAGTCAGGGCTACACTGCAGAGCCTGTCTCAAAAGAAAATGATATAAAAGAATTATGCAATAATAAAAATAAATGACATTGGAGCTAGAAAGTGGCTTAGGTTAAGAACAGTTGT